TACACACTGACCACTGCTTCTCCTCCAGGTGCTGAGTCTGGTAGGGTCCCTTCGTCTGGTCAGGTGTTTGCTGCAGCGTCCAGGTCTGGTCCTGAGTCTGCCCCTTGTTCGTGTCGTCGTCTGTCTCACGAGACCCTCCTCTGGCACCACCGCCTTGGCCACCCCTCTCTGCTTCGGCTCAGAGGCATGGCCTCGCGGGTCCTTGTGTCTGGTCTTCCCCGGTCCCTCCCTCCCCTTCCTCCGGGCCCTGGCCCTGCCTGTGTCCCCTGTGTCGAGGGGCGCCAGCGTGCTGCCCCTCACTCCTCCCAGTTTCCTCCGACAGAGGCCCCGTTGCAGACGCTTCACATGGACGTGTGGGGCCCAGCCCGCGTCCGTGGACAGGGTCAGGAGCGCTACTTCCTGCTAGTGGTTGACGACTACTCGCGTTACACCACAGTCTTCCCCTTGCGCAGCAAGGGTGAGGTCACTCAGGTGTTGATCGACTGGATCCGCGCAGCTCGTCTTCAGCTTCGGAGGAGCTTTGGCTCTGACTTCCCTGTCTTGCGTCTGCACTCGGACAGAGGCGGAGAGTTCTCCTCGGCCCTCCTGAGTGCCTACTGTCGTGTGCGAGGCATCCGTCAGACCTTCACGCTTCCGGACTCACCACAGCAGAATGGGATCGCTGAGCGCCGCATTGGCATGGTCATGGACGTCGCTCGTACGTCCATGATGCATGCGGCTGCTCCCCATTTTCTGTGGCCGTTTGCGGTCAGGTACGCTGCGCACCAGATCAACCTCCACCCCAGGGTCTCTCGACCGGAGACCTCCCCAGCTCTGTTGTGGACGGGGACGGTTGGCGATGCGTCGGCGTTCCGGGTCTGGGGATCTCAAGCATTTGTTCGCGACCTGTCTGCGGACAAGCTGTCCCCTCGTGCTTCTCCCTGCGTCTTCCTCGGGTTCCCCCCCGACGCCCCTGGGTGGCAGTTTTACCACCCCACCTCTCGACGTGTTCTGTCCTCCCAGGACGTCACGTTCGACGAGTCGGTACCCTACTACCGCCTCTTCCCCTACCGCACTCCGTCCCTCCCCCCACCCCCGCTCTTCTTGGTACCAGGTCCCCCACCAGTTGTCCCCCTCCCCCCTCAGGGTCCTGCCCCTTCAGGTGTGTCTCAGGTAGACGCGGTCGAGCCTGTCGAGGTCACTGGTGACTCCGGTGCTGCTGCGGGAGCTGAGCCTGGGGGTGATGAGCCTGGGGGTGCTGAGCCTGGGGGTGCGGAGTCTGGGGGTGCTGGGCCTGGGGGTGCTGAGCCTGGGGGTGCTGTGCCTGGGGGTACTGAGCCTGGGGGTGCTGTGCCTGGGGGTGCTGTGTCTGGGGGTACTGAGCCTGGGGGTGCTGAGCCTGGAGGTGCCGAGCCTGGAGGTGCTGTGCCTGGGGGTGCTTCGTCTCGCCGGGAGCCGCTCTCTCCACAGGAGCTGCGTGAGTGGTTTGCCCGGCGCTGGAGGCGTGCCGCTGGTGCTGGTGGTTCTTCGGCTGCGGAGGGCGCTGCTGCCACGCGACCTGGCGGTGCTCGTCCTGTGGGTGCTGGAGCTGCTGGGTCTGAGGGTTCTCCTGGAGCTGGTCCTGCTGAGGACGTTGGCGCTGAGCCTGCGGTTGGTGGTCCGACTGACGGTGCTCCTGGTGCTGCTGCTGGGGGTTCGGGAGCTTCTGGTGGTTCTGCTGGAGGTGCTGCTGGAGTGGGTGCTCCTGCCGGGGGTGCTGGTGCTGTTCCTGCTGTTTCTGGCGTCGCCGCGCGGCCCCGACCGTACTTCGTTCCGCTCCTGCAGCAGGTTCTTGGTCTTACACCTCCTCCTCCTCCCTTAGAGGGTCCGCAGCCTGTCCGGTCACAGCCACAGCTACAGCCTGCCTCCCCTTTGCCTGCTCCTTCTCCCTACACTGGTCCGACTGGAGGCCTTACTGAGCGTCGTGAGCCTGCGTCTCGTCCTGCGTCGCCTGTTCGTACTGAGCGCGCTAGTGGTCGCGGGTCGCGTCAGCGTCCTCCTCCTGTCCCTGGCACGCACCGGATGTCACTGCGTCCGTCCACTGCTCCTCTGCGTGCCCCTTTGCCTTCTCCTCCTGCTTCCTCTCTTCCTGCTCTTGCCGACCCGGAGTCGGACTCTCTTCGTGCTGCCAGTCCTACTGTCACGCGTCTCCTTGCTACTGCTGTCACTGACCCTTCCTTCGAGTCGTCTGCTGCGTCTGCCCTTGTCACTGAGCTTGTCGACTTTGCTGCGCGCTGTCGTCTGGACTACGCTGCTCGTCTTGTCGCTGAGTCTGAGTCCGCCTGTCCTCCGTCCGTCGGGGGTGAGTGTGCCCTTGGCACGGACGTCCTAGAGGACAGGCAGGAGGAGTTCCAGTGTCTAGCCGCTGCTTCACCTCGTCTCGCGTCTGTACTGCTAGCCCCTGAGGGAGACCCGGATGCACTAGACATCCCGACTCCGCGTTCTTACGCGGAGGCCGTAGAGGGTCCCTACTCCTCTCAGTGGCAGGCAGCTATGGATGCAGAGATGGCTTCCTGGAAGTCCACAGGCACCTACGTTGACGCGGTTCCCCCTCCTGGGGCGAACATCGTCAGCGGCATGTGGATCTTCAGGGTGAAGCGGCCGCCGGGCTCGCCGCCTGTCTTCAAGGCGCGTTACGTGGCTCGTGGCTTCAGTCAGCGGCAGGGAGTTGACTACTTTCAGACCTTCTCTCCCACCCCGAAGATGACCACTCTTCGGGTGCTGCTGCACATTGCCGCTCAGCGCGACTACGAACTTCACTCTCTCGACTTCAGCACTGCGTTCCTGCAGGGTAGCCTGCACGAGGAGATCTGGCTGCGCCGTCCGCCTGGCTTCACTGGGACTTTCCCTCCTGGCACCCAGTGGAGCCTCCGACGGCCAGTCTACGGTCTCCGCCAGGCACCGCGTGAGTGGCACGACACACTGAGGACTACGCTTGCGGCTCTTGGGTTTGCTCCTTCTACTGCTGACCCATCGCTGTTTCTTCGCACCGACACTTCCCTGCCGCCGTTCTACATCCTCGTGTACGTCGACGACTTGGTCTTTGCCACAGCGGACACTGCTGGACTCGCCTACGTGAAGTCCGAGCTGCTGAAGAGACACACGTGCACAGACCTGGGTGAACTGCGCAGCTACCTTGGCTTGCAGATCACTCGGGACAGAGCACGCCGCACCATTACCCTGACTCAGTCACACATGGTGCAGCAGGTCCTTCAGCGCTTCGGCTTCACGTACTCCTCGCCTCAGGCCACTCCTCTGCCTACTCGCCACTCACTCTCAGCTCTGCCTTCGGATGAGTCCGTAGAGTCGAGTGGTCCGTATGCAGAGCTTGTTGGCTGCCTCATGTACCTGATGACCTGCACACGACCTGACCTTGCATACCCTCTGAGCATCCTTGCACGCTATGTTGCTCCTGGGAGACACCGACCAGAGCACATGGCTGCAGCGAAGAGGGTATTGCGCTACCTGTGCAGTACGTCAGGCATGGGGCTAGTGCTTGGAGGGCGGAGTCCAGTGGTCCTTACTGGGCACGCAGACGCTTCTTGGGCTGACGACCAGGCTACGCAGCGGTCGTCACAGGGTTACACCTTCAGCCTTGGTTCCGGCTCTGTCTCGTGGCGGTCTACTCGCTCGTCTTCGGTTCTCGGCTCCAGTTGTGAGGCTGAGATCTACGCCGGGGCCATGGCTGCACAGGAGCTTCGCTGGCTCACCTACCTGCTGACTGACCTTGGAGAGCTGCCTCGTTCTCCTCCAGTGCTGTACGTAGACAACAAGGCCATGTTGGCCTTGTGTCGAGAGCAGCGCTTGGAGCACAGAACGAAGCACATTGCTCTCCGCTACTTCCTTGCTCGTGAGCTGCAGCAGCGTGGTCAGTTGCGACTTGCTTACGTGGCCTCTGAGGCCAACACTGCTGATGTGTTCACCAAGGCACTTGCGCCTTGCGACCATCAGCGCTTTTGTACCCAGCTGGGTCTTGTACCTGTCTTGCCTCACTTGCTCTCTTCTTGACTTTACTTGTACTTTGACATATATATACCTGCTCTTGCTTGTCTAGTTTTTTATATATATGTCTGTACTCCTGCATGTGAACTGGCCTCTGGCCTTGCTCTTGTGCTCGGACTGTGTGGTGACTTTGTGATCCACCCTGAGCTTGTTTTGCTGTGCTTGACTGGTCTTGTGACCCCTTGTTCTCCCCCACTTTGCCTATGGGGGTGTGTCAGATTATTATAGCTGATGCATGTTTGTAGGCTATAGTGGGGTAGCACATATGGGGTACAGTTTGCTAGGGTTGTATTTGTACCCAACTCTGACTTAGTCAATTCACTCCTCTGCTCATAGTTTCACAGCCAGGAGCGTAGATGCTCTGATAGCATGTTAAGATAGTAAGCATAGTGAAGAGCCATAGTTAGGGTTTAGCTAGCTAGGCAAGAGAGAAATGAACAAAGGAGGGGTTTCACTAGCAGCAGTTGGGATACATATAGCAAACCCTAACAGGGTTGTACTCGCTATAGAGCACCCCACTACAGGCTAGATAATAACATTCTGACACGAAATTACGGGAGAAATTGTTTAACCTGAGAAACGTGAATGCACCTGCACAATAACCTGACATGTAGTTGAATAGCGCTCCTAGGCTAAGTTGCATGCACCTGAAAATGGCCGGACTTCTTTGCTTTTGACCCATCCACGCGCCTTCCCTTGTTCTCTTTGAGTAGCGCACGACCCTCACGCAGGATGCTACGCGCTCTCCGCGTTGCACATTTCCTACAATCATGGCGTCATTTAGTCGGTTGAAACCAGAATAAAGATATAATTAGGGGTGGCGAGCAACGTAGAGCAGGGCCCGTTTGCAGGGCCCGTTTACAGGGCCCGTTTACAGGGCCCGTTTATTCCTAGAGCAGTTAGTTGCTCCTCTGGCCGCGTTTACAGGGCCCGCAAGGGGTATATCATCCTGTGGGAACGCCGCGCTTGTTAAGTTTACAATGGCTGATCGCCAATCTCTTTTGGCGAACTTCGCCAGCAGCGCCGTCGCCGTGCTTCTTGCTTTCGCCGTGCTGAGTTCGCGAAGAGCAGAGGCGCAGGGCGAGCCAGACTGGCGAGCGAAAACGGCGTCTGTTCTTCAGCAGGTGTCGCAGCAAGAGTTTCTATCCTCGTTCGCCGCCATTTTCAGCGAGTTCTGTAAGCACGTGCACACGTGCCTCTGTTCGTTCTGCCCTTTCCGCACACAGCATCGTCGTGCATCCCCCTCCCCTTCTCTCCTGTCGCCTCCGTTCCACCGAGCTTGTACATGTTTCTTCCCACCTGCGCATCCCAATTACATGTCTTGCTTTTCCTTCCGCCTGCGCATTTCAGTTATATGTCTGCATTTATTTCAACCTGCACCTTCCCTTCTAACTTGATATAATCCCTCCCGCAACCCTACCTTCCTACCCCCTCCCATACCTCCCAACATCCCCCCCTTTCTCCCCTCCCCCCATCCAATCTCCTCTCATGCAGTGCAAGGCGGGCAGCAGCCCATCACAGCCCCCGCCACGCTGCTCGTCCCCACCAACGTGGGTCACTGGCGCTACCTCTCCCACTGGACCGCCCTCTCCCCCACGCACCAGCGCCGGTTACTGCATTACCACATCCTCCCCGGCCGTTACACCGCCCAGCAGCTCCTGGACGCCCCGCCGCTCACCCTCTTCCCCACCTTCAACCACCACCTGCCGCTAAACAAAACGCTTAAGCCAGAAGAAGTGTTCTTCCAGTCGGTTCCGCTGATGAAATCTGCATCACCGCTAAATATGCCGGATGCAGGGCTGACGGAGCACCTGGCTGCGCACGGTGTGACGTTTGTGCTAGAGCCACCCAACCTGGAGTGTACCACCGTGGCGTGCAACAGCAAGGCTGAGAGCATGGCGCACATGGGATAGGTACAGAGCAGTTGCATTGCAACCCTAAAACAGCTTTTTTAGTTGACTCAAAAAGCAACATCAATGCTGAGACCATATCCACCAAGTGTTACCTCCCTTCCCTACAGAAGCAATAGCGACGACGACGATGAGGGGGAGAAGGAGCAGCCGATGATGCCAGAGGCGAAGGAGCGCGCGGGGCATAGTAAGCCCGCAGCAGCCGATGATGGCAGAGGGAAGGGCGCTCGTCGTCCTGCTCCTCCGTCGTCGCCCCGTGCGGCGGTGCGCTACACCAAGTCGGTGCTGTCCAGCACGCTGCAGCTCATGGGGTGCAAGTCAAGGCACGCCGTCAAGGTGAGAAACACGCCGTCAAGGCGACACCGGCCTGTGTTGCACTGCACCGTCAGATCATATCATACCTATTGGAACCTGCGCGTCTGTACCCTCGTTGCTCCCAAGACGTTCTCGCTTTTCCTGTTGCCGTGTTCACGTTTGCTGCCCTTTGGAGTTCGCATTCCTCCCTTTGCTGCTCTCTCTCTCTTACTTGCGCTCCTCTCCCTCACCACACCACGCGCAGATCAGCGAGCGGGTCTTCCAGATTCTGCTGCAGCAACTCACCAGCCGGCGAGTTTCTGGCCATCGGACGGACGTGGCGCACCGATCACGCATGGCAAACGGATCCGACGGCATCCAGCGATTTGCCAGGCCAAACCAAGAAGACCCCGGCGCCGTTCTGGCCACCGGCGCCAGCCATGATAATCACAGCTGCTGTGACAGTAATGGCCGTGACAATAACGAGCAGGACGAAAGCAGGGCGGCAGCAGGGGCCGGGTCGAGTGCGGGCGGCGACACAGTGAGGGGCATGAGCGTGTCTTTGAAGCGCAGCACGTTTCTGGACGTGGTGTGCCGGGCGCTGGCGGAGTATCGCTACCTCAGCGCCGACCAGCGCAGCGACCTCGCCCTCGCCTGCAAGTGAGTGCACCGCACTAAACCGCACCGCACTGCACTGCTACTGTTTCTGGTGTCTCAGGCGCTGGCGGAGTACCGCTACCTCAGCGCCGACCAGCGCAGCGGCCTCGCCCTCGCCTGCAAGTGAGCCCCTGCATACCGCTTCGCACCGCACTGCACTGCCGCAGTGCACCGCTGCCCACACTGTAAAGACTACTAAATTCTTTTGATCTGTCACGGCTGTTGTGGTGGAATTGCGTGCTGTTATTGGTGTGCTTCTGAGTCCCTTTTGTGTGCTGCTGCTGTGTGCTGTGTGCTGCTGCCGTGCACGGTGCGTGAGAGGAAGATGTCAGTGACGGTGTTCCTGTGTGGCGCCAGCTGCTGTGGCAAGTCCACTCTCGCCTCCATCCTGGTACGCTATGCTGCACACCCGCCTTCCCTGCCCTGCCTTCTCCCGTCCTTCCTCTTCCATCTTTCCCTCCTCTTTCCCTCCGTCTATGCCTCCTTTGTTACCCTTTTCTCCTCCCTCCTGCGTGCCGCCATCCATCCCTCTTCGCCAATGCCTCTCGGGTCCACCAGTGCCCTCATAGCACCATGGGTGGCTGCAGAAGCGGGGAAAAGCCCCCCTCTGATGCTCCCTTCCCTCCCGTCCCTCCTCCCACCTCTGGCGCAGGCGTCACGGCTGGGCATCACTCCACGGACTCGCAGCGCCACAGGATGAGCAGCTTCAGCAGCAGGGAGCAGGCCACTCTCTGCCACATCTCCTCCTTGCAAACCGTCTTCCTCTCTTGCGTCCTCTCCCTCCCCCCACTGCCCCCCTCCCGCTTTCCTCCCCTCTCCCCTGCAGGCGTCTCGGCTGGGCATCACGACAATGGTGTCCACTGACTCGCTGCAAAGTGCACAAGGACCTTTCTCTCTCTATCCCCTCACTCCCCTTGTCTCCCCTTGTCTCCTCCTTGCATACCGTCTTGCTTTCACCCCCTCCCCTCACTGCCCCCTCCTGTACCCCTTCCCCCTCTCCCCTGCAGGCGTCTCGGCTGGGCATCACAACAGTGGTCTCCACGGACTCGCTGCGCCACATGATGCGCGGCTTCAGCAGCAGAGAGGAGACCAAGAAACGCTCTGCCATTCTACCTCCTTGCATACCATCTTGCTTTCGCCCCCTCCCCTCACTGCTGTACGCGTCCACGTACCCGCTGCTGTATGCCTCCACGTACCAGGCAGGCGAACACCTCGACCCCGCCGCTGTTGCCGACACCAAGGCCAGGAAGAAGGCGGGCAAGCTGGCAGGGAAGCACGGCGGCGCACAGGCCGGTGGACAGGGGGACGCGGGCGCACAAGGTGCAGCAGCTCAGAGAGATTGGCACGGAGGCCGGCAGATGGGGCAGCTGGCAGGGGAGGTTGTGGGGCAGGTGGGGCGGAGAGAGATGCAGGGCGGTGTGTGTGTGGGCTCTGGTGAGCGGGGAGGAGAGGAAGGATTGGGTTCACACGAGGGTGTTTGGCTGGGGGAAGGGCGGGTAGGCGGGGAAGGGAACTGTGGGGGAGGAGCTGTGATGACAGGGGGAGGTGGGGGTGGGAGGGAGGAGAGGGAGATGAGAGAGGCGGTTTGGGATGGTCGGACGAGCGTGACAGGTTTGGACAGGGAGAGGAGTGGGGAAGGAGGTGACGAGGGTAGAAGGAGAGATGTGGGGAGTGGGAGGGATGCTGTGAATGGGAAGGAGCCAATGAGTGAGATGAGAAGGAAGTAGTGAGTGAGAGAGGGGGGGTGAGTGAGAGGGAGATGGTGATTCAGGGGTACAAGGCGCAGAGTGAGATGGTGATAGGCAGTGTGGAGCAGCTGCTGTGCAAGTGGGAGCGCTGCCACGAGTCCGCCATCGTGGAGGGCGTTCACCTCAGCCTCAACTTCGTGGTGCGCTTTACTGCCTGCACCCTCTCACAGCTGCATACTCTTGCCGCCACTCCCCCACCGCACTCATGCACTCTCCCACCGCACTCATGCACTCTCCCACCGCACTCATGCACTCCCTCACCGTTCCTTTGCGCCGGCTGGCATGCCGTTTTTGGAATATCCTGTGATGTTCCATCGCATCGTGATGTTCCATCGCATCGTGCCGCCATGTGGCAGGTGTCGCATTCGGCATTTGTGTTCTGTGTTGCACCTGCATCCCACGTGGTGCGTGTTCCGCACGTGCATTTACATCCCACATGCCGCCCGTGTCCCTCACGTCATGGCAGATGGAGCTGCTGAAGCGGCATCCCACGATCATCCCCTTCGTGATCTACATCGGCAACGAGGCGAAGCACATGGAGCGGTTTGCGGTGCGCGCCAAGTACATGACGCTGGACCCGTGGCGCAACAAGTATGTGCGCTAAATGCGCAACATCCGCGCCATCCAGGACTACCTCGTGCGCCGCGCCGACAAGCATCTGATCCCTAAGGTGTGTGCGTCGTACGTGGGGTACAGTACGGTGGACCCTTTTCTGCAACAAGCACGTGCGCTACATGCGCCCTCTGTGCCGGTTGCGTCTCTCGCCTCCTCTCACCTGCCTCTACTTCCTTGCACCTCCCCCGCTTCACTTGGCCCGCACGCCACCTGCGCTTCCACCTCGCCTTGCCCGCCTGTTCCCGCATCACTCTCCCAACCACTTCGCCTTACCCCATCCCATCCCATTCTCTACCATCCCCTCCCATCCCCTCCCATCCCCTCCCATTCCCTCCCATCCCCTCCCATCCCCTCCCATTCCCTCCCATCCCCTCCCATCCCCTCCCATCCCCTCCCATCCCCTCCCATTCCCTCCCATCCCCTCCCATCCCCTCCCATTCCCTCCCACCCATCCCCTCCCATCCCCTCCCATTCCCTCCCATCCCCTCCCATCCCCTCCCATCCCCTCCCATCCCCTCCCATCCCCTCCCATCCCCTCCCATCCCCTCCCATCCCCTCCCATCCCCTCCCATTCCCTCCCATCCCCTCCCATCCCCTCCCATTCCCTCCCACCCATCCCCTCCCATCTCCTCCCATTCCCTCCCATCCCCTCCCATCCCCTCCCATCCCCTCCCATCCCCTCCCATCCCCTCCCATCCCCTCCCATCCCCTCCCATCCCCTCCCATTCCCTCCCACCCATCCCCTCCCATCCCCTTTCATTCCCTCCCATCCCCTCCCATCCCCTCCCATCCCCTCCCATCCCCTCCCATCCCCTCCCATTCCCTCCCATCCCCTCCCATCCCCTCTCCCCATCCCCTCCCATCCCCTCCCATCCCCTCTCCCCATCCCCTCCCATCCCCTCTCCCCATCCCCTCCCATCCCTCCCATCCCCTCTCCCCCCCTCCCAGATGTGCTACCAGCTGCCGCTGCCAGGCCGCTACGTCCTCTCGCTGCACCTCCTCTTCTCCGCCACCTTCCCCCTCCTGCGCTCCAATGCGCGCACCTCCTTCCTTGGGGGGTTCTCCAAGTGAGGCGCGGGGGGGGGGGGGGGGTGGGGAAGGGAGCTGGGAGGGGGGGATGAGGGGGGTTGCGGGGTGTGGGGGGGAGGATGGAAGGGGCACGCCCAAACGGAGGCTAAAAAGGTGAGGCGGAGGGGTGAAGAGGGCCCGGGGGGGGTGAGAGAGTGAAGGGATGTGCAGGTTCCTTGGAGGTTCACACAGCTGCCTTGGAGGGTTGTGAAACAACTGAACTGATTCTGAGAGGCCACACTCGTGGCTCATGCGTGGATGCATGCGTGGATGCATGCGTGGGTGCTTGCGTGGCATCCCCAAGTCAACATGCACTCGGTGCCGCTGTATCGCCATCAACTTCCCTTCATTGCTTCCCATTTATCCGATTCCTCCCCCTTTCCTCCCCCATTGCCCCCACTGCAGCTACACGGTGGTGCAGTCGCAGGCCATTCAAGCATCAGCACCGCCCACCTTCTCCCTTTACGCACACAGGTGCCTTCTTGTCACATGCCATGCCATGCCATGCCATGCCATGCCATGGGGCGTGCAGGGGACTGCTGCAGTGTGTCGCATGTGTCCTCACCGCACTTCAACGCCCAGGGTTACCTCACTCCTATCTCTTTGCTCTTACACCACGTCCCTCCTCTCTCCCCTCACCCATCCCACCACCCTCACTCCTCTCCTCTCTCTTCTCACAACATATGATTCCTCTCCTCTATCTCTTGTCTCTCAACACTCTCCTCTATCTCTTGTCTCTCAACGCTCTCCTCTCAGCCTACCACCTCTCTTCACTGCTGTCCACCGCACACACTTCTCATCGTACCGCTCGGCCGGCCCAAAACCATTTCTCGAAGAGCCTCCTCCAATGCATATCCCCCACCTCATTCCTTCTTCGCGTCCATCAACACCTGATGCCTTCTTTGCGACGAACAATGTTGCGGCTGTTCACGCGTCTGGTATGAACAGCTTCTCACAGCAGATGCAACAGTCTGGTATGAACAGCTTCTCACAGCAGATGCAACAGTCTGGTATGAACAGCTTCTCACAGCAACATGCTGCCTTCTCCCCCTCTCCTTCCCCGTCATCTCCATCCGATGCCACCTCCCCTTCATTGGTTGCGACCTACACATCTCCACCTTCCCCCCCACAAACACTCCCATCTCACAGGTGTTCTGGCCCAACATGCTGGCCTGTGGCAGCGTGCCACGTGGCAACGGGTCCATCTACCCACCAATCAACAGCAGCACGGGCGAGCTCATCTCAACAGGCGTGTGCCAGCAGCCCGACTCCGCCTTCTTCTTCCACGGGGAGAACTTCAACGGCTATGGCCGTGCTGTGTACGTGCCCCATACCATCCCGCTTATCCCGTTTCATTCCATCCCATCCCATCCCATCCCATCCCATCCCATCCCATCCCATCCCATCCCATCCCATCCCATCCCATCCCATCCCATCCCATCCCATCCCATCCCATCCCATCCCATCCCATCCCATCCCAACCCATCCCATCCCATCCCATCCCATCCGATCCCATCCCATCCCATCCCATCCCATCCCATCCCATCCCATCCCATCCCATCCCATCCCATCCCATCCCATCCCATCCCATCCCATCCCAACCCATCCCAACCCATCCCATCCCAACCCATCCCAACCCATCCCATCCCATCCCATCCCATCCCATCCCATCCCATCCCATCCCATCCCATCCCATCCCATCCCATCCCATCCCATCCCATCCCATCCCATCCCATCCCAACCCATCCCATCCCATCCCATCCCATCCCCCCTCCCCCCTCCCCTCCCCTCCCCTCCCGTTCTGTGCCATCCCATCCCATCCTGCGCGTGCATCCATGCGCGCCCCACTCCCACCAGGTACAAGGTGAGGGCAGCGGAGGGCAGGCCAGCAGCGGCCTTCAACCTCACGTACGTGTGGCAGTGCGGCGCCATGAAGCCCGTGTTGCCCGCGTGGATGAGCGACCCCGCCCTCGTGGGGCCCGCGCTCACCCTCTTTGACTCGCGCCATGATGCACGGGGCGCTGCTGGGAGCAGCGATGCTCGCAGTAACAGCAGTGATGACAGCAGCAGCACCAGCAGTGGGGAGAGCAATGAGAGCAGCAGCGGCAGGGAGGGGCCTGGGGGGGAGTATGACATGGCGCTGGTGGGCACCACTCTGCACGACCTCATTCAGCACCCCACCGCCCGCGCCTTTGGTGCTCTGCTGGGTAGGTGCCCTGCTGGGTAGGTGCCCTCCTCCTGGGTAGGTGCCCTCCTCCTGGGTAGGTGCCCTCCTCCTGGGTAGGTGCCCTCTTCCTGGGTAGGTGCCCTCCTGAGTAGGTGTGCAATGATGCTCATGACTTTGCAACGCGCCTCACCTGAACCCCTCCTCCATCTCCCCTTGGCCCCCCCCCACATCCAGAATCCAATCTGCTGCCACCACTGCGAGCAGCCATGAGGGATCCCTCAGCCGTGGCGGTGCTGGGCCCGTGGGCGGCGAGGGAGGACAGCAAGCCGCCCGAGTTCATCCCTGTCAGCAACAACGCGCGTTCCATGGCGTTTGAAAACGAGCTAATCAGGTGGGTTGGGCTGCTGGAAGCGTCACACCGCGCCGCCGGGTTCCTTCACGTGTCTTCAGGTGCTCCGGTCCCACCAGGGTCATTCGATCTGCCTGTGCTGACTCTCGTTCTTCATTTTCCCAACACGCTGCTTGCGTGAAATAACTGTTTCTTCCCTGCATGCCGCTCATGCCGTGTGGGCATGCCGCTCGTGCCGTGTGGGCATGCCGCTCATGCCGTGTGGGCATGCCGCTCATGCCGTGTGGGCATGCCGCTCGTGCCGTGTGGGCATGCCGCTCATGCCGTGTGGGCATGCCGCTCATGCCGTGTGGGCATGCCGCTCGTGCCGTGTGGGCATGCTGCCACTGACTGACAGGGCCATGCCATATCCACTTGAACACACGCTCCACCCTTGAAGCGCCACGGCTTTTTTTTTTGTTAAGCATCATCCACGTTGTCAACACACTTGTTCATCCACCCGGAGCACCAACGCAACGCACTCCGGGCAGACCTAACTCGTTCGAGAAGTAGGTTCGACCCAGCTTCAGCAGACCTAACTCATTCTAGTCTTCGCTATTCCAAAACTGAGCGTACGCGAGTTTCGGCACGATGGCCTTCATCAACGCTCCTTCTGCCTCTTCCCCTCCCCATTCCCACCCCCACCTCATCCCTCTCCCTTCCACCCGTCTTCCCCAACCCCCTCTTCCTCCTCCAATCCCCCCCCAGGCGGGTGCCCTCCACACAACCCGGTGCGCTCAGTGCACTGGGCATGATGGGGCTGACTCTCCCGCGCCCAGACCTGTGTCCCGACAGCACACACTACGCCTGGCCCGTCACCCTCGCCATCCTTGACCTCTGGCTCACACCGCTCTGCACCGCACACGCCTCACACGGTCCTCAACACTAGCGAGTATACCAAGGCATGGAACTGTTGGTCACGACTCACGACTCACACCCGAAGATGGAGTCACTCGTGGGATGCCTATAGTCGTGACTCGGGCTACTCCCCCACCTCACTTATTTGACACCAAATCCAAAGATGCATGCACCTCGGGTTCGAAACACAGCAATCAGGCTTGAGAAGAATGGTCAATTGCGGCTGGCCTTTTTCTGAAGCTCGCTGGTCTTAGTTTCAACCATTCTGTGCTTTCTTTCTGTCATATGTATTAATAAAATACTGTGCGCTCCTACCTACCGGTAGATGAATGTAACAGCCTGTACCGAACCTCCAGCTCCGTGCTCTCAGACTGCCATCCCAGTCTCAAGGTCCAAATTTCATACCGTATCGATCAAGCCTCCTACCTGAGATATGCTCAAGGTGTTGCCTGTTTTTTTATTGTGTTTCTTTGGCTACCATGCTGGAACACATTTACTACAAAACAATGACAGCAGTGGGTGACTATACATACAAGGACTGACTCTCTATCGTTTTAAAGGGCCACAAACACAGCATCAACCTCAACAGATTATGAACAAGTATGGCAGATACATTACACTAGAATGCAAGTTTGTGGAGGCCCAGTTGTACTCTGGTTCCAGCCACAACCGCTGACAGTATCTAGAACTTACTAGGTCATTGCCGAGACACAGCCGCTAGCAGGAAACACATGAGGCAGCATCTCATTAGTAAGCACCAGATAACATCAGTTACAGATACCATTGCTGTAACGAGTTGAAAGCAGGCGTGCAAGCCAACTCCGCAATCCAATTCTGCTCACACTGACCAATCTCAATGGTAGATTCGCCCCTCAATTGCTTTGCGACCCACCCCCCCTTCTCCTCCCCTCCTCCCCAACTCCCCATACAATACACACCCCCCCCCCCCTCCCCCCTTATCTCCAAGCCAGGTAAGTAACCCAAATTTGGGTAACATTTTATCGTTCTATGTATCGAAACTACTGAAACACTGTATCGGGTCATAACCAGGGCTCTCTTTATCAGACCAATTTGGTCTGACGGTCTGAGTTTCAGACGTGATTTTTTGTATTCATCTAGTTCCTAAGATTCTGTGTTTTTACTCATCTGATCAGTAAGACAAGCGTTTTAGGTTCGTATGATTTTCCAGGCCATGTAGAACACTTAATCTGAATTTACAGATATCGTGTTCGCTTTCGTCTGAAACCGACAATTTGACCCACTAGGCCATGTGCCCAGTAGACCACAGGATAGGACCACAGGTACAGCCATTTGCTGCCCTGTAACTGCACGCGCATTCAATACGCGTGTATTATAGCAGCCTCGCTTGCTGTCATGTAACTGCGGCATATGCTGCCAGGAGTTTGTCGTGTGGCTAGCTGTCGGCGCCGATGCCAGCCACAGCCACGGCAACGCGTTGTCTCGTTGTGCCAGCGCATTTGCATTTCCTAGACGTCACGCAACATTGCACCGTGGTCGTAGTGCCCCCCGCTCCCAACACGCAGCGCCTTTTGGTTCTCAATGCACTGCACGGTGATGGGGTTTCATGTAACCAATTCGTAACTGAGAAACAAAACAGTTGGCATGACTTTCGAGCTATCTCACTTTCGTTTTCGTTTTAGTTTGTTGGACAAAGTCCGATTGGCTTGCGATATTTGTACGATCAGAAAGCTGGGAATACAGGTGCAAGACACCTGTCAAGGATGGTTTTCCTCATGTTCATAGCTACACAAGAGAAGCTTCGAGAATCTGGCCATCTGCGGTCCAGATTCAAATTCTATGTTCTGTACAAGCGAAACTACAATGAGAGTTACGCTAAAGCAGCTTAAAACATTCAATATGAGCGGCTCAGATTCCCCCCATGCCGTGCCATGCCAGGGCATTTCCCGCGCCATGCCAGGGCATTTCCCGTGCCATGCCAGGGCATTTCCCGTGCCATGCCAGGGCATTTCCCGTGCCATGCCAGGGCATTTCCCGTGCCATGCCAGGGCATTTCCCGTGCCATGCCAGGGCATTTCCCGTGCCATGCCAGGGCATTTCCCGTGCCATGCCAGGGCATTTCCCGTGCCATGCCAGGGCATTTCCCGTGCCATGCCAGGGCATTTCCCGTGCCATGCCAGGGCATTTCCCGTGCCATGCCAGGGCATTTCCCGTGCCATGCCAGGGCATTTCCCGTGCCATGCCAGGGCATTTCCCGTGCCATGAAATGCCATTTCCCGTGCCATGCCAGGGCATTTCCCGTGCCATGAAATGCCATTTCCCGTGCCATGGAATGCCATTCCCTCGTGCCATGTCATTCCATGTGTGCACCTACTTGTTCGAATCTTGCATGCAATATTACCACAAATTGCCAAAACAGAGCACAGACATCATTATTGAGACCTGGTACCCACATATCCATCGCCGCCCGTGGGGCTCGAACCCACGACCACAAGGTTAAGAGCCTTGCGCTCTACCAACTGAGCTAGGGCGGCTTTGAATTAGGAATGTTCGGCACATAACTGGCACGGGACATCGCCTCCGCCATACACATCCCCTCACTTGTCAGGGCTAGTGAATGGCAAAACACTGATGACAAGGCTGGGGAGAATCACTGCTGGTGGCACAGATGGAGAAGTGGATACACAAGAAACACACACTGCGGCTCAGACATAAGGGGGTAGGGGCTGCTGCTGACAGCACTCCAGAGACAGCAGAGTAAGCGCAGACAAAAAACATGGGAGCGCATGTGAGAGGAGATGCAAGATCGGTTGTGAGAGCGGAAGCTTTTCGTGGTAAAGCATCGATGGAATATGATCAGGCTGGGAGCACACACGAAAGGGAGAGAATTTTTGTGAGGCAGGGGAAGAATCACTGCTGGTAGCACAAACGGATAAGATAAATGCAGCACACACTGTGGTTCAGTCCTAAGGGGTTAGGAGCTTCTGCTGACAACACTCCAGAAACGGTAGAGCAAGCGCAGGTAAAACAATGTGAGCGGATGTGAGGGCAGATGCACGATTGGTTGTGAGGGCAGAAGCCTTGTCGTGGTAACACAAAGGAGGAAAATAAGCAGGCTGGGAGCATACATGAGAGAATTCCCGTAAGGTAGAGAAAGAAAGGTAAATAACTGATTAACGGTATCGCACAGAAAGGCTTAGGCACAGAGGATTACAACGTTTCTGATAGCCCAAGTCCGTAAAGTGATAGAAAATTTACGTGACCTCGGAATTTTTTTCATTTATGTGTTAAAGCTGGGTACTTACAAACGGGCTGACAGTGGCCAGGCTTAGTTGGTAATTGCGGCAAGAGTTATACTACGAATCCGTCAAGATCACTGCTAGAGTCCCATATCACCATGTCACTCTGCAGCAGCAGTTGGGGAAAGGAGGGGGGAGATTGTTGCACTTGGATGGCAGCACTGACAAAGTGCACATGACGAGCAGTTATTTCAGGTAATTAGAGGGAAGAGGAAGATAGGTACATGTGGGTAGCACATGATTGGCCGTGCACTGATAGCGGTGGCCCTGTGTATCGCTGTCACAAGGGGCACAGAGGCAGACACATACAAAGGGGGGTGATGAAGGATGCTCCTATCGTTCTGTAATGTCATGCCAGAATCCTCCATAACCCTGCCATGGCATCATCCTACCATAGCACCATCCTGCCATGTCATCATCCTGCCATGTGATCATAATACCATCATCTTGCCATCTCAGCATCCTACCATCATCCTGCCATGTCAGCATCCTACCATCATCTTGTCGTATCATCATCCTACCATCATCTTGCCTACCATGATCCTGCCATGTCATCATCCTACCATCATCCTGCTGTGTCATCATCCTACCATCATCCTGCCATGTCATCATCCGCTCATCCTGCCATGCCATTCCCCCATGTCACACCATGCCATGCCATTCCCCCATGTCACGCCATGCCATCCCATTCCCCCATGTCACGTCATGCCATGCCATGCCATTCCCCCATGCCATGCTATGCCATTCCCCCATGCCATGCCATACCATTCCCCGATGCCATGCGATGCCATGCCATGCGATGCCATGCCATGCGATGCCATGCCATGCCATGCCATGCCATGCCATGCCACTTCCACATGCCATGTCATGCCATTCCAACATGTCATTCCCCCATGCCGTGCCATTTCCGTGCCATGCAATACCATTTCTCATGACATGCAATGCTATTCCCTCGTGCCATGCAATACCATTTCTCATGACATGCAATGCTCTTCCCTCGTGCCATGCAATACCATTTCTCATGACATGCAATGCTATTCCCTCGTGCCATGCAATACCATTTCTCATGACATGCAATGCTATTCCCTCGTGCCATGCAATACCATTTCTCATGACATGCAATGCTATTCCTTCGTGCCATGCCATTCCATATGTGCACTAGCTTGTCCATGTGCAGGATCACCATATGTGCACCAGCTTGTCCATGTGCAGGATCACCATATGTGCACCAGCTTGTCCATGTGCAGGATCACCATATGTGCACCAGCTTGTCCATGTGCAGGATCACCATATGTGCACCAGCTTGTCCATGTGCAGGATCACCATATGTGCACCAGCTTGTCCATGTGCAGGAACACCATATGTGCACCAGCTTGTCCATGTGCAGGATCACCATATATGCACCAGCTTGTCCATGTGCAGGATCACCATATGTGCACCAGCTTGTCCATGTGCAGGATCACCATATGTGCACCAGCTTGTCCATGTGCAGGATCACCATATGTGCACCAGCTTGTCCATGTGCAGGATCACCATATGTGCACCAGCTTGTCCATGTGCAGGATCACCATATGTGCACCAATTTGTCCATGTGCAGGATCACCATATGTGCACCAGCTTGTCCATGTGCAGGATCACCATATGTGCACCAGCCTGTCCATGTGCAGGATCACCATATGTGCACCAGCTTGTCCATGTGCAGGATCACAGAGATGGAACCTCATTTCCGCGGTCTTCCATGCGATATGACCAC